GCCGAACGAGTGACTCACCGGACCAGCAGCTCCAGGAAGACCACGTTGCTGCAGCAGCCCGCGAACACCAGGCCCACCGCGAAGGCCGGGCGCATGGCCGGTGCAGGCCCCGGGGAGCGAGCGCGCAGAGGAAGCGCCCGTCTAGATCAAACCGCTACCCCCGGCCAGCCGGCGCCGCACATCGCCGCCGTCCCCAGCGCCCCTCTCCGCGGGGTCCGCCGCGGTCCTCACTCTCCTCCCGGGACACCGCCCGACACTCGAAGCCGAGGAGCTGTAGTTCGCCGTCAGTCCCGGCCCCATTCATCCGAGGGGGCGTCCGAGCCTCAAGAGGACTACAAATCCCAGCATGCCACGCGCCCTTACGTCAGTAGGGGACAAGTCGCGCCTCTGCTCGGCGGCCTCACCAGAGGAGCCGGGACTAGCGCCTCGTGAGTATCGCGTGATCAGCTGCCTTGACGCCTGCTGGGAAGTGAAGTTCCACGGCTGTCAAGGTCCTTGGTTGAGGGAGAACTACAAATGAGAACTTTTTGTTAACTAGAGGAGCTGCAGACCTATGGCGGGTCGGTAGAGGTGCATGGCATCTGAAACACGAGCTCACTAGTCTCCCCAGCGTAGAAATGCCTCTGAATTCACCTCTAGGAAACCAGGGTTGGGCCTGGTGATTGTAAGATCAAACATGTTCTGTGCCTTGAGCCACCATCCTCCTCATCTCAAATACAGGGAGGAGCCACTATGAGGCCCCGCTTAAGCAAAGCTTTTAAAAGTCGTTTTTTACTTACATTCTGTAAGTGTGAACTTGGTTGTTTCATGCTAATTACAAGCTTTGACAGCTCTCTATTTTCTTTTTGGTTAGAAACTTAAAATACACTGCGTTTGGGGGCAGCCTTTCAATAATGGAGTTGTTCTTGGTGAAAAGATTGGAAACTATGGTACTCGGTGCTTAGTGAAGGTGGTTTGAATGAGTGTATGTCTAGGTTATTATCACTTGTTTATTAGATTCAAAACTTATCAGCTAAATGAACAATAATTATCTTAAAAGATATATTCTATAAAAATACTAGCACAAGAAGTAGATTGCTTTGTATTCAATTTATTGTTGTTGCATCCAACAGGCTAGTTGATCCTGTTCGACCCTTTAAGGTAAGGATTTTCTTTTAGTCATTATTGTCCTTGGCCTGTCTTGTGCCAACTCGAAGTGGGTGCTCCTTAAATATGGAATTTAATTGATAGTGCTTATTTTATCACTTTAGCTTATGTTCCTACTGGCCTTCTTACTGCACACACATATGAATTTTAGAATACATTAGGCTTATCAGATGTGTTTGTGGAAAATATCACTTTCTGGACCCCACCCACAAGGATTCTGATTCAGTAGGTCTGAGGAGAGACCCAGTAATCTGTATTTATAGTTAGGACCCCAAATGATTCTAATATTGTCTCTGGGTCACAAATTTGGAAACACACACACACACACGCACACTATTTTGAAGTATATTGTCCATCTCAGGGAAGACTTCAGAATACTTATGACTCACTTGAAATTAAAGCAAATACAGCATGACATTCCAAAATTCTACCATATACTTTGCTGTTGGAATTAGTTGTAACTGAGATGTATGATGTGGTACAAACTCAAAGCAGTAGAGATCATATTTTATACTAGGAACAAGGAATAGAAAGGAAGTGTAAACACATACTGCCATCAAAAACGAGTCTTGATGGGGCTAGGAAGGCTCAGTGATAGAATGCTTGCCTTGCATGCATGAGGCCCTGGGTTTGATTCCTTAGCATCACATAAGCAGAAAAGGCTAGAAGTGGTGCTGTGGCTCAAATGGTAGAGCGCTAGCCTTGAGACGGACAAAAAACAAAAACAAACAAATGAAAAAAAACCCAAAACCAGTCCTGCTGGATTGACAAGGTGTTCACGTGTATTTTACAAATAAAAAAGCAGTGCAGTACTATCCTATGTACACAGATTTTAACAAATACCATTTGCTGCTGCTGACTGAATAGGTGGCTAAGCTTGGTTTGTGATGCTATGAGAATTCAACTGGTAGAAAGAAACATGCCGCCCTTGCACCATTAAAGGTCTGATTAATGAAATAGTCTTTCTGACAAATGTGCCTGGATATTGGTAATTCTCAAAGTCTCCCAGATTAACTATGCAGCTAAGGTTCAGAGCCTCTTTACTTTCTTTTCTTTTTCTTTTATCTCTTAGCGGTTCTCAATTTGAACTAGCAAGTAGAATCACTCATGGGATTTTTAAAATTATTGAAACAAAAACAAATACCAGTCCTAGTTCAGAAAAAAATAAAGCAGAATATCTGGGTTTGAAGCTCGAGTAATGATAATATCTTCACCTTGACTGTAGATAATCCTGCCTTTTCCTCTGATTTCACTAGAGATAAATTCTTATCCTACAAGCCTTTGTTTCCCATATATCTGAATATTTGGGAGCATATAAATAATATTCTCAACATCTATCATCTTTTCCCATAAAAGCAAAACCATACCTAAATAATTAAACCAAGAGATAGCTTTAGTCCTGTAAGGTTTACATGTGATATGCATCTTCCCCCTTCTCTTATACTTCTGCCTGTTCCCGGGCATAGTTAATAGGTATAATTATTACCTGGGATTTTGTTAAAATTTGGACTCTAGATCACCAGGCTGAAGATGGGGCCTGAGATTCTAACAAGCTTCCAGGTGATGTTAATGATCCTGGACCACCTTAGAAGAACAAAAGCCTGAAAACCTAGATCACTCTGGGGAGCCCTCTATCTCTCCCTTCTTATTGGTTCTGGGCATGCGGGCAAACCCATCCCGAATTCTTCCTTTCCCTTAGCTTTCAATTGTAGAGTCCTGGCTCCTACAAATATATTTCCTGTACATATATCCACTGACTCAGGTAAAAAGGGCAAGGAGTCTTTATTAGCCATGGTGACTATGCCCCACTTATAGAGTAGTGGAGCATAGCAGCCATGCTCTCTCACATTATGGCTTATATAAGAAAGAGGCCATGTGCAGGTGGTGGTGTACATAAAGGGCCTTAAGCAGGTGGCCAGTGACAAATAGCAATTTCCAATAAGACAAAGCAATACGTTGAAAACAAAGACCACATTCTAGGTTTTCCTTTTGTTAAGGGTTTAGCAGATGTTTACCAAAACATGCTCCAAACTTCCTATTTGCAAAAACACCTTTCACACCTCCCCCCAAAAAATCCTATTACTAAGTCTAAGGCCAAAGTACTTTCTTGGTTTCTGGGCTTTTCCTGAGTCCTGCTACTTTTCAGTAACCTGATGTTTAACTTGGTTATTATTTAATTCTTTACTTTGGGTCTTCTGGAATTTCCCTTTAATGCTTTGCCCTATTTTTAATAATTAATACTTTTTTTCTATCTCTGATTTCACATTTTACACAATTATGCTAAAAAAATGAACTTTCCTTTCTTCTTCCTTCACTTGAACACCAAATATCGTTAAAGACTCATCTCTATTAGCCATCTGTTTTAAACCTCCTATCAGCTTCTTTGACTACTCATCCCAAAGCCAGATTATTGAAAATAGTCCCATGGGAAGCCTAATGACCATTTAACAGTCAATTGCACAGTCTCTTGATCTTCCAGTGAATTTCTGAAGACAAAATCCCCCTGCTTCTTGACAGTCCCTTGCCCTTTAAGACAGAGGTCTATGCTTCTTTTTCCACTTCACTTTTCTCTTCCCTTTGTGAAAAGAAAAGAAAAGAAAACAAACAAACAAAAAAACTTTGGCCACTGTTCTCTTCAAATTTTGACCCTTCACCTCTGCCTTTTATTGCCTGAGCACTTCCTCCTGGTGATTTGTGCCCAGTGACTGCCATTGTCGCCTAGGCAACTGTGAGCTTGAGCTTGTGTGTATTGTATGTTTAGTCCCAACTCGCTTGTGTCCTAATACAAAAGTTTCCCATGGCTTTGATATCAGTAGCTACATGGATCATCGTCTGCCTTCCCTTAAGAAGACCACTAACTGCATGAGAAAGCCCCATTTTTCTCTTTTGGGACAACCAAAATCCTGAAAGATTTTTCAGTCTTCCTGTCCACTACCCCACCATACATGTGTTTGCTCATTATAGTCTGTCAGTCTGCCTCACATGTCGGTGTCTTTGGATTCCAACCTCTCCTTTTCATTCCTGTTGGAAAGGAATAAACTCTTTCCAAATGTATTCTTTCGAAGGCAACAACAAAGCAAAAAATATTCCACAAACCAAATTGAAAACACCACCACCACTTTTCTCTCTCATAGTTCTCAGCTCAGCACCCTGCGGTTCTATTCTCTTTTTGCATCAGGTATGGACTGAGGTTGGTGTCATCTTGACTGGATTATACCAATTGGCTGGAACAGCTCTGTTCATGCGGTGTCTCTTTTCTGCTTTTCTCTCACAACATGTTGGGCCCACAGTAGGTAGATTATTATTACTATTTTATTACTAATAATAATCTACCTATATTATTAGAATGATGATGATGATGATGATGATGATGATGACTGGCTTCCCTCACAACAGGATTCCTAGAGAATAGGCAGACATACAGTGTCCTCAGTAGTCACCCAGAACTACCCACCCCATCTTCTATTTGTTCCAAAGGTTACCTGGATTCACCGTGGGAGGGAATGAACTAACCCATTGGTTTGGGGAGGGAGCACCTTTGCAGACTTGTTCCTCCATACTCGATAGAAGGCTGCAGGCACGCCACAGACCTCGTCTACCTCCAGCTTTATGTTCTGTTTCTCCCTCCTGCTCCTTGGACCCCAGCTATTGACCACTCTCCGTTCGTTCAGTGATTTCACAGTGACTTTCAAAGTTTGTATCTGTGTGTGTGCATGCTGTTCTGTCGGCCTCAGGTTGTGTCCTTTATCCAGCCAACTTGTATTCCTCTTTTTATGTCCCTAGAGGACAGTGGAGGGCGGAGAAGTTCCTACACTGTGCAGTGTAAGACGCCACATTCAGACGTCACCTTTCTGTGTAGCTTTTCACTGTACCATTCATGGCTCCCTTTGTATACTTCCAGTACCCCATCCATTAACCCACAAATCCATTAATCATGTCTATTGTCATTGTCTGTTGCTATATCAATCTCCCCCTTCTAGACTTCGACCTTTGTGGACAGGCAGCGTGAGTAACAATTTTATCTATAGACCGTCACCTTACGTAGTGACTGCTTATGTGCATATATTTTGTGTTGACTGTATGAAGGAAAGGAGCTAGACTCAGCCAAATCACACCTCATAAATATGCATTATTCACCAGAT